TAATAAGGTACGAAAGGAAATAAAATCCATACCTTAAGAACCATTCGAAGCTTTTGCACCCAAATGTGTACCCACTTGGATCATCATTTTTATCTCTGCATATGCAATGAGACTACTTGCTCAATCTCATTGAATAGTACTTGTTGAGACTCATCCTTTGATACCAAATGTAATGCACATGGTTTCTACCTTTTATTCTATGGTGATTTACCATAGGATAACATCATGAAGCTGAACCTAAACCCTCTTTGTGCCACGTGACAGATGGCACGTGTCACATATCACGTGTCCAAAGGATAGTGGTGTGGAACCTGAGGTTCAAGGCCTTGAGCCACTAAACAAAAGAATGGTGCCAAACTCCCAAGCATGGCGCCAAGGAGTGACGGAACCGGACCACGAAGCAACTCCCGAGCATATAACCAAAGGAGCGAAGGGACAGGAGCCCAGAGCAACTTGAAACAGTTTTGGAATAATCAGCATCCCAATGCTAGAACCAACACGCAAAACAGAGCCAAACAGAGTCTAGTGCTATTTTGGCATACCGGTGGCCTAATGTAAGGACATGGGTACTCCATCAGTTAGCATGGAATGGAACTTGGGTTTAAACCCAGATCAGACGTAGAATAAAGATAGGCATACAAGTGGGAGTTAGACTATGCCTCAGGTTAGTCAGCCATGCCCGACCTACCCATTATCCTTACTATACATTTGAAACCACCCACAGTCCCCCCCCCCCCCCCCCTTGAGGAACACATGCTTTGGGCTCAATCCTCCCTTAGTATCAAGAGTTAGTCTCTAGGACAAGCTCAAAACTTACTAAATATGGAATGTTCTTAGATTGCGAATTTGGACACAGGATGAACACCATTGTGTTCAGGCTGATCTCTACATTTTGTAGATATGCCAAATGAGTGAATCTAGACACTTTCCATAAATAGCATTTGGGACTGAAATGAGACTAATACAAAGGGCATGATAACAAAAGTGTTTAACAGACACGGTAAGCTGTCATTTAGCGATATTGAGGGACTAGTCTCAATACACAAGGGTTCTTGTCAAGTTAATGCAAGACAGAGCAAAAGAGAATTAAAAAGCCAGGCCAAGTATACTTGGCTAAATAGACACTTACAAATTCCATCCTTATGCTCATCCAGCTAAATATTGATGCAAAGTCCAATTTACTAACACTTGAACAAGAGGGATTAATAAAGGGTCCAACAATACCAACCTCTTGCCATCGTGGTAGTAAAGAAAAAATATTTGAAAGGACTAGCTGACAAATAACTTTCAATACCCGAAATCATATTCGCGAAATTTGACTTCCCATGTGTGGTGTTAAATGAAAACAAAGGTCATGAGTTCGAGTTAACACAAATCTTGGATGTTGACCAAAGGGAAGATGCAAAGGTAAATTTTGCTGATGGTTGTGAGTTTGAGTTAGTAATAGTCTTGGAGGATGGTTGGTGGGTAGACTAAGAAGCATGATGTATCATTTATTGTAGTGATGCTTTACAAATTGTAATGGCTCTCAAAATCCCTTATTTCAAAATTATAGCTTCAAGATTGGTTTGAATGTTTAGTAGTTATACACAGAGTTGTAATTAGTTCATCAGGATTTAATAATGAACTAATGTAACTTTAGATTCTCATAGCAATCTATAATTGCTCTGCAAAAGCTCTAGATGTTTCATTTGACTTATTATCATCACCTTACATTTCATCTTCTGGGGGGTAAGGTCTATATATATATATAAAATACCCTGCCTAAGTAATATGTTAATTATAGTATTATAGCATATAAACTATTTATTACTCACAATATATATCACTAACATTCAATAAATAAATAATAAAAACTAATAATTTAAAGAAAAATACATTTTCTACCAATCAAAATATATTGTTGAATAATATTATTAACTAATATAAAAGAGTGGGATCTCCTTCATAAACTTTAAGTGCATGATGTTAACAAAAGTATAAATTGGTTTGGAAAGTTTCGAATGCAATATATCTCAACAAACCAGTGATGCACTAAAAAAACTTTTAAAACTTATAAAACTTTAAACATAAAAACAATCATACTACCTATGATTTTGAGTTGGTAATTGATAATAAATAGTTAAGGATATAATTAATCAATGAGGGGTTAATGTAAGCTCTTGAATTTGGTCTTCTCAGGAGATTACTCAGCCCAATACTATTCAAACCCAAGGACGATTAACCCTAAATATCCCAAGACTATTAACCAATTGGAAAAAGGGGTGCACTTTTGTTTATAGGCCTTTTCCCTTTATATTTGAACTTTATAAATCATTTCTTGAGTTGTTCTCTTTGGTTGCTTACAGTTAAACCCCTCTAGAAAGCTCTTGGTTTATTCAATCTTTAAAAGTTTCCAAAAGTTTTCATTTAAAAGATTTTAAATTTTGAACATCATTCTATATTGAACCAATATCTTCTAGCAGTTCAAGGTCTTTTTCTACTTTAATACACATAATATATTTTCTGTGTTCCACATTAGCCAAAAAAAACTCTAAAAATTAATCTTGATAAAAATGCAAGTGAATCCATATGTAGATTTTAGCAGGAGGAGCCTAAGATGACTCTTGTCCAATCTCATTATTCAAATGTATAGCATAGAAAGTGCAGAAATAGAAGTCACCTTCTAATCCATCAAAGATCCCATGAAGGGCTTTTTCATCAAATAATTGCCTCTTTTCTAGTTGGTTTAAAAGAAGAAAAATAAAGTGCTAAATCAAGCACACAATATTGTTCTATGAAACACAATATAGATTGGGGATATCATCAAGGCCATGAAATTTTTTTGGGAGATTCCTTCCAAGGATGTGGTATTGTGGAGCGAGATCATGCAAAGCACACATATGTTGGGGATCTGGGTAGTGTGCTTCCAATGCCACAATGAAGAAACATCCAAGTGAGGATGTTTGGTCGCTATAGATCTTCCAAGAATCTCATCTTCTTGGTTGCACTGGAACTCAACCTTCCAAATCTTCCAGATAGATCTTCAAATTCTTTGCAAGATAAATTATTCATAAATGATATAAATTAATGTTAATATGGTTATTGGATAGTTTCAACTTACAATGATCAATGGATGAGGAAGGCCATGCAAGTCTAGTGTCAATTAGAGGTGTTAGATCGTCCTAGACCCTTTTTATAAACCCCTCTCGACAGTGTCTCAGGTCAAGGATAGTTCTTCATCGTTTCTCTCATTCCATGGCGGCAACAATGCAGGCAATTCTCATCACCAACTTGATCTTTGCGCACTCGCCACCCCCACTCGTCCTCGCTACTGACAAGGACATGCTCCAGGGCGTCTGTGTCACAGACAACAACAGCACTATCATCATCAATGGCAAGGTATGCAAGCCCATGGCAGCGGTGGTGGCTGAGGACTTCAAGTCGGGCTTGCTCAGGCCGGGCAACACCAGCAACAGGCTCGGCTCCGCCGTCAATGCTGCAAACGTTGGCAATTTCCCTGGACTCAACACTCTGGGCGTCTCGTTTGCGCGCCTTGACTACGCTCGCGGCGGTGTCAACCCCATCCACAAGGAACCGAGCTCCTCTTCCTCGTCCACGTGGGCTTTGTCACCACTGCACCGGATAACCAGCTCTTCGCTCAGACAATCAATCCCGGCGAGCTCTTCGTCTTCCCTCGAGGACTGGTTCACTTCCAGATCAACACTGGCAGAGAGCCCGCGGTGGCGGTGGCCGGGTTCAACTCGCAGAACCCCGGAGTCTCCCAGGTTGCCAAGGCCGTGTTTGGCTCGAACCCGCCTATCTTGGACGCTGTCATTGAGAGGACGTTCCAGATCGATAATGCTCTCGTGCAGAGGCTCCGGGAGCTCGTGAGCATGACGTAGAGCATCGTTTTCCATGGATTTTGTTGATTAATAACTTCAAAGGTTGTGTTGATCTACTCGGTTTTGTGCTCAAGATCATTGTAGAATAGCTTCATCCATAGGGCATTCATGTTCTCGAGGTGAATCTCTGACAGATGCGCTCGAAATACCATCCAGGAAGCTCAAGTTCAAGGATCTGCCCAGAAAATGGCAGCATCTTTTAAATTAATCAATTTAAACCTAATGGGCTACTGTCAAAATAAATGTTTAATTCAACCTTTAATTTATTGGCAAACTCTCGTACTCGCTGTTCCTTTTCAACCATTTGCTCTTAGCACTGCTCTTAGGAGAGATTGCGGCAATCATTGCGTCCGCCATCACCATCCCTTTGGGAGCATGGATCGAGCCTGTGAGCCTGGCGCAGCTGGAACATGCTTGCCTGCAAGCTTTTCCCTACGAAGATGTCGAGCTTTCCTTGTCTCAAGTCACAGTATCTGCCGGCCACCTATGGTGAAAACACTTGGTGACAAGAGGAAGTTGCAATATCAGAGATCAGCACCTGTTACGCCTCATCCACTCTGCCTGAAGCTAAAACACTTGCTTTGCAGCCGAGAAGAGTCACTAAAGTGTTGTGGTTAACAGCAATGGGAGCACCTGACATCTCCAGGTAGTTTTGGGCACGTAGTGATCACCACCGCCAAAAGAGTTCTCAAGTTCCTCATCGGGAGGAACAGCTCCAATGCATTAACGTTATAGGTGACTATATTCTTGAGTAACACCTTGAACTCCGCTTCTAGCATTTCCCTGACTCCTGTGATCCCAGCTCGCAAAGTAGAGCGACCAGAGCTTGCTGGATTTAGATCCTTTGCCTCGTCCAACCGTCAAGGTGAGCAAATCATCTCTGCCCATGAGCTCTATATCTCCGGTGTGAGTGATCGTTGGACACTTTCTATGGCAGGCCGCCCGAACGCGTACCTTGTTCTGAAAGAAAAGCTGATGAAAGAACAGTCACTTGCACAAGTGTTTCATTACCACCTCCCCAAACTCAACACCTTCCATATTTTCCTGCTTAAGCGGTCGATGTACTTGCACTGCCACCACAACATTATATACGGGAAGAATCGGTATCATTGCCATTCTCAGCTGGTCCAGAAGTTCAAATATGTGCGTCCTCAGATCGTTGCTGCCGCCAGTTTTTCCATCATCAAGGAGAAGCTAAATATCATCTTGAGCACCCTTGAGGTCTCGACAAAGTGGAGGTTGCACACCACTGGTCATGCTCGAGAAATCTGTTGAAGGATCTGTTCCAGCTTCTGCATCACCCTGGAGTTTCTACTCGACTTTCCAAACTCCGTAAAACCCTGGAGTTGTGCCTCAATCCGGAAGCTATGGTGCCTCAAAACCTGTCCTCGCGGCCTCAAAACTAGCTCGCTCCTTTCCTTTCAAGAATTTGCTCGTAGCACTGCTCAGGAACCTGTTAGAAGAGATAGCCTCCACCGCAGAGTGCTATACACGAAGGTGACCACATTGTCGTAAGCTTCTGGAATCCTCCGTAGCAGGCACGTCGGCCGAGCACCTGGACTCCTTCATTACCTCGTGAATCAGACGACGTTTCGAACGATCAGGCCTGTGAGCCTGGCACAGCATGCCTCCGAGCTTTTTTCCCTTGCGAAGATGTCGAGATTTCCATGTCGAAGTCACAGTTTGGAGAAACTTCCGTCTCTGGCACCGCGTCAAAGACTTCATACAAGTTTCCTGCCTATGATGGAAACAGTCGGTGACGAGAAGCTTTCAGCCAGAAGTTGCAATACCATACCAGCTTCAAGAGAACTACGCCTCATCCACTCTTGCCTTGGTCAAACAGAGCAAAACCGTGTAAATCTTAGCGTCTGGAGAAAGCCTGTTTGAAAGCCTGACGGAACTAGAATAAGAGTACAGCCTTGTCCAGGTAGTTTGTATCCTTTGTCAACCTCGTTGTCTCCAGAGGACTGTTGGCCGAGAATTCGAACCGGATCGCCATCTTCCAAAGCCGGAACATTTCTCTCTGTAGTTGCCGAAAGCATGCCTGCCGAGCTGGAGTAGATACATCTGTGAGTTCTCACGAATACCAGAGTTCCCGGCTTGCAGCAACACTCTGGCCTGGCGATCCAGGCTCGCCTAGTAGCCACACATTGCACATATCCAGAGCGTCGAAACGCAACTTGCTGAAGTCTATCCTGAGACCTTCCGAGACCCGCCTGAGCCTCGTCCAGCCGCTCGTAGCTAAGTCAAACCAACTGTTTGCAGCAAGCCAGCTGCTTCACTCCCGCAACTTGCTACCGTAAACTTCGTGTCGAAGGCAGCTCCAATACTTCCGGTGTTTCATTTGACCGTGATGACCCTTGAGGGAAAATAAAATTATGTCGGCTTCAATTATCTGTCACGGTGACAGCGGCGAGAGCTTGCTGGATTTTGATCCTTTGCCTCACGGCTGTATGGGTGCTGCATACGCTGAAATGGCCTTGAAAATGCTAGCACACCTTTTGTTCACCACCACTTGTCATAATAATCGCCTTCTCAATTCCTGTTCAAGTGTGTGTGTCAGTGACCGCTAAAAGGAGAAGAGAAAACAACAGAACAGAAAACCACAATTACCGGTGGCACAAAACAATGGTGTCGCAATGTCGCCCATGAATGTCAAGGCATCTAGCAGTTCTGCTGCTGCATAAGGCGTCAAATCATCCTCGTTCTCTGAGCTCCCAGGTTGATCAGCTTCACGGATCTCCACAAAAACAGCACTATCTCCCTGCTTATCGCTCACCAATTCGGAAAAGTCGATCCATCCTTCATCTATCGGCAGCTCTTCGATTTCTGGATATTTCTCCCAGCCATCCTCCAGGTCTCCAGCTGGCTCGTGCCGCATCAAATCTAAGTACTTTTCTCCTCCTGCGTCATTGAAGGCGGCATCCGAAAACTGCATAACACAAATTCAGGTATAACATCCATGAGAAACTGTAAAAATACTTACGTGTCTTGAACCACGAACTTGGCGCTCCAAATCCTCGGAGGAGCAATCCGCCGCAATCGATATCACCTCCAAGAAGTTGCCAGAGCTTTCAAGTTGATGAATGGATGGTGGCCTGCTCATTAAAATAGCACTGTTGTCTGACTGATCATTCAAGCTGGCCGCTTCTTGCTTTTCTAGAATGTTGTGACTTTCCCACTCATAGTTTTGCTGCTCGCTCGTGGCACTAAAAGGTGGAGCACCACGCCTTCGCAGCTCTTGTACCTCAGCTCGAAATTGGCCACCACGCAAAAGCCAAGCGTCTTTAAAGCCAGCGTATAGTCCCTGCATTCACATATTAGAATAAAGATCCAAAAAACATTGACTGAAAATTATTAGATTCAAACGTACGTGTAAATTAAAATATTTCCAGCCACCTTTTGACGCGTGAATAAGATTAATAAACATGTCAAAGACCTCCTGCTCAATTCAGAGCTAAAATCCACAAGGAATTTGGAAAAGTACTTACATCTGTATAAGCATCGTGATCATCAGGGAGTGTCGATTCCAAAGCACGAAAGCTGCTATGCCACGGGAAAGTAAGCCCCGACACTGTCAAAACAGTTAAAAACAAAACAAAGGTAAAAAGAATGAGAAAAGCTTACTTGTCTTGAGCGTGATCTTGCTGATGTCGATGACACCAAACGAGCACACCCCTGCAAACCAATTGTCGTCAATTATCGTAAAGAACGAAAATCTGAAGTGCAGCTTACGATATGGTTCATAAAGTGACGCTCGCTCGATCAGTGATGGATAAATCGGCGCCTGGAGCTCAACACAAGTCCCGGAGGAAAGAGTGCCACAAAACCGTAAAGAGCATGGAGGGCTTTCATCATCGTTGAGCAGCAGCCGAGCACCAAGGAACCAAGGAGCTTCTTGTTTTCCTCGCTCAGGCACAATGTCGCGATGTACTTCCCGCTCGCAGATTGCTGGAACTTCAAACCAAAACACTTGATAAGGATGATGCAAACAAAAACATAAACAGCTTACAGTTAGTAGTATTGTAATCTCCTTGGAAGTTGACGCAGACTAGCTTGATAAGCAGTGGGGTGATTGGAGGCTGCGGAATAACTGCGTTGAGTTTGAGCACCGCCAACTCAAACAGTGATGGATAACTCGGCACCTGGAGCTCCACACAAGTCCACGAGGAAAGATCACCAGAAAAGCGTGAACAGCATAGATTGTTGAGCAGCAGCCGAGCACCAAGCCGACCAGGAAGAGGAGCTTCCATGCCGCCGGTGATGCGAAGAACAGAACGAGCACCACTTGCCAGCTCCGGCAACGCAACCTATAGAAGCCAAGTGTTAATTGTGGAGCCAGGAAAAGATAGACTTACATTTAGCGGAAAAGAGTATGCTGGACTCGGAACCACTGAGCCAAGGAATATGGAAAGTATTCTTACGCTAGAGTTGTAGGACTTCGAACCACATCCGGGAATTAAGCCGGGCTCACTAATCACCTGGAGCGTGAAGATTGCATTGCTCCGTGATCCCTTGATCATCACCGATTGACGCTGCAGAGGCATAAAGTCTTGGCCGTAGAGTTGTGAGACCGATATGTCTTGATTGAGGTCGAGGAATGTACACTTGGCTTCTCTTGTGTGCTTTACCAGCGTACGTGAAAACTGCATGGACAAAGAGATTAGACAATGATCCAAGTAGACTGGAAAGACGAGAAAGCTTACCTCATTGGACCTGTTGAGCACACCATCGTCATGACTCTGCTGCTGAAGCAAGATCATGAGCAAACACTGTAGCTGGCCATAACCAACACAAGCCATGGCCATGCGTGACTCCTGGATTGAGCTTGCGGTAAGGAGCTCAGAGACAACCTCCAAGCGCTTGAGAAACTGCATCAGGTGTGTGTTAGTGACAATATGAAAAGCAGAGTGAGCTTACTTCATTGTCAATCTCCGGCAGTAACTGCGACTCAGAGCTCAAGCTGGATGCAGTCGTTATGTCGTGATGGCTTTGCTCTTGCTGCAGCTGACCAGGCATGAAAGCCGGGGGGATCACAAAGTCGAGCGTTGTCAAAGGCAAACGAATTTCCGAGGTGCTTGGAGGCTGTGGAACAACGCTCCGTGGCAGCTCAGCTAGATCAGTGTCAAGGGACCCGCTGTGAACCGCTGGCACCATTCTTGAGCTCTGGAAGTCAAGAACAACACCTGGCATCATTCTCGAGTGTTGGTAGTCAAGAAGGTCTATGAAAAAAAAAAAGAAACAAATCAAAGTCAGCCAGGCCCTGGAAGATAAACAAGAAAACTTACATTCGTAGTCACTGATGCGAGGAGCATAGAAGATTGGGTTATTACTCGATGGTCGTACAGCAGGAGTCCGGCCAAAGTCAATATTCCGAATCCCGGACACTGTAAACAGAGGTTAGAAACAAGTGGAATAAAGGTCAACACCAAAACTAAACACCCCTTTATAAAAAAAATGGAAATGCTTACTTGTCTTGAGCTTGAGCAAGTTGATGTCGATGCAGCAAAACGAGCACTCCCTGCTGGGCTGCGCGAAAGCTGTGAGTGTGGATTGTCGCCGCTGCGCGAAAACTCGTCGCCCCTTTGGCTGGTGCGTGTTGCGCTTCCAGAACTTGAAAACGAGGAGCGAGAGCACCAAGAACGAGAGCATGCCCAGCACCACAACGCACAGCACTAGCAGCTCCCAAAAGGACGGAGCCGCGGCTACGACAACTACTCCTTGGTAGTACCTTGGATTCGCGATGCGCCTCGCCATTTCTCGCCCTCCTCCCGAAATGAAAAGTATATGCCTAGAATAAAATTAGGGTTTCCATTAGGGTCGGCTGTAAAAATATAAACCGGATAAATTTTTTTTGCGAGAGATGCTCTTTAGTTATGGAGCTCCAAGCAAATCCATCGGAAGTATTCCCATTCATGTCTGGATTTCATAGCCGAGCTTTATCTTCACAAAAACAACGATTTTGCATCTGCTCGAGAAACTGGTATAAAAGCTTGGAAAAGTTCCACTATCAAATTAGTGATAATAAAAGCTTGGAAAAGTTCCACTATCAAATTAGTTCGCTGCATGAATGAAATGTACACAGACCTGAGTCATCTAGAACTCCCTACACGTCATTTGAACATCTCATATAACTGCGAGAATGTGAAAAGAACGTCGTCTTCACGAGGGCCATCAGACACCTGCAAAGAAAAAGCAAAAACAAATCAAGCAGTTCGTGAGTTCCCATCATCTCGTCCTAAACTATCTAACAGCTACTCGAATCAAACAACGAGGAATCTAATCAACGAGAGCAAAACACTTGCCTTTAAAAAAAATCCCGAAAACTCCCCAAACTCAAAGTCCCCCCTGCCGCAAAGAACCCATCAAGTTGCCGGAGGATAGCCTCCACCTCCCGGATTGAAAAGCCGAGGGGCAAAAACTGGAGAATACGATCGAGCTGCTGATCCCCGAAAAGGCTGCCTACCCGACTGGAAAACTGCCGACTCGGTGGCCGATCTGGGAGCAGCATTGAAACGCGTCGTTTGATGCTGTTGTTGCTCCTGCTGCTGCTGCTGCTGATGCTGCTGAGAGCTCGGCTTCCCTGTGCCCGGGACGTGAAGAGGTCCACCGAAGAAAATGCTGTTCTCCGGGTACAAGAGGTCGTCAGCCTTCCGGAGAGGAGCGTCTTGAGCCTTTCGCACTGTGCTTGGAAGGTTTGACGTGCTCTCTGTGGCTGGGACGAACGCTGGGCGTGCTGTTCTTTGCCCGCTTTCTATATCGTAGGACGAGGCAGGAACCGATACCTCCGGCCATGCCTGCCTGATGTAAGAGAACACGGAGTTCTTCTTCCCCGGACTCGCTTTCCCGTCACCACCCTTTGGTCTACCCAGGAATCCCGACGCCCTGTCCTCTAAGCTATCCAGGCTCGAAGAATCATTCCCACCATATTTCCCAGCCCCCCAAAGTGTGTACCGCTGAGGACGAGTGAAGGGTCTCACGTTGGAGGTACGAACCGTAGATTCTTGTGTTGATCCGAGTGAGCGAGGAGTTGACAGGCGCAGTGTGCTGGTTGGAGCATAGTTCGGCTTCGAAGGTAGAGGACTCAATCCGTCCGAGTCGTTCAAGACATGCCTGGGACTGCTGATGCTGCTTCTGCTCGAGGTCACGTTGTCTCCCGAATCGAAGTGGATGTTGTATTCCTCCCTTGGGCGCGGCACGACAAGTTTCGAGGCCGAAAACCGCCCCTCGTCAGCTCTTTTCCCACGCATTGTAGCAAAGTCGGTACTGGCACTGCTTCTGCTGCTGCCTACATCGCTTGAACTGTAGTCCATCTCTACCCCTTTGCCTGGTATCTGCTTTATAACCGACGAGGTTTCCCTGGCTTTTGCTGCGGCCTTGGCAGCTTCAGTTGGATTCAGCTTTGCCAGCTTCCATGCACTTATCCTCACTTGTGGTTTCTGAGACTTCTTGTCCAGCTTCGGAACAGAATCAGGATCAACGGTTGACGGTACTCTTCCTGGCTCTAGATGTGGAATAACTTCGTCCTAAATCAAAACAAGGAGAAAAAATGGAATAAACTACAGCGCACGACAGCAGATAAACGTACCTGGTGATCAATGAAGACTCTTGGCGGCGTACACCAGGCACCCCTGTATTGAAGTCCCAGGGAGCTGGAGCCCGTTATCCCAGTCGCGGTTGAACTTCCTGGTGATGATGGAGCACTTAGTGCTTCTCCTTCCACGGATGGCCCTTGTTGCTCGTTTTGCGCTCTCATCGCTACGACGTACTCATATGTTGTAATTCCCTGGACAAAAATAAAAGACTAAGCACTGAACCAGATTGCGCGCACAACACACCTTTCTCATGAGTATAACGTGGAAAAAGAAAAGCTCGCCGAGGGGAACTGACGCTAGTACAGAAACCAGAGTACACGTTGCCTAGCAAGGCAAACATTGACTTTGTTGATAGACGAAATAAACCATGACGGCTTACCACAACTGCTGCAAAGGGCGCTCGCGTAAATCCATTCCCAAGTTTCGTTACAATCTCGCTTTTCGTATCTTCCTCGTGAACAAAACACCGCACAAGGACAGCAATACCGGATCCCCACTGCAAAATAAGCTGCGCGCGTCTAAAAGTAGATTAGAAGCAGGATATTTCCTTCAAAACAGAAATACACGATACCAAGATAAGACTTGCTGCCATAAGCGCTACAAAACTTGGATAGTTCTTCTTACCGACGCAATTATTCAACCACTGAAAGCAAAACTGTCAGTACAAAAATATTACATCTGCTTGAATGAAAACTTACACGACAATGGTGATCGAATCCATCAACACACTTATCACAGCTTCGACAATGCTTGCTGAACTTATGAACCTGCGTGAGATAAACCAAACTTATCAAATCAATGTCGACATACTCACGGAAAGAACTCAAACCTCTGCGTTACATAGTGTGCAGTAAAGGACATCTTCGTCCAGTTGCGTAGGCAATGGCTCTTGCTTCCACCAGTTATCCGGCAAAACAAGGCAGCCACAGATCAGGCCGCAGCAAACTGACAGCAGCCCTCTTTCTCTGTTGTCCTCGACACCGGAGGGAACTTCCGACACTCCATGTCTGTGAACCACACTTCCGGATGACTCCGAGACCAGCCCTTTCAACTCATTCTGCTCGGGAAATCTCTGGCCAACAAAAACTCCGGAGTCCGCAGGATTGATTCCTGTGCATCTGACGTAAAGAAAGAACACCACAAGTGCCTGCAAAGTTAACGAAATTGAGCGCTTACAAATTCCAAGAGTGAGAAATTGCGAAGAAAGACTCACCAAGATCGAGTAAAACCCAATTACGATATACTGCCACGGATTGGGCCCAATGAAAGGCGCGAAAAACACGAAATACGCGACTACGAGGAGGAAGAACACAGTGATCGCCACAACCTGCAAAAAGAGCTCGCTCAGTTGGTCGAATTCCACGGCGCCATATTTACCTGAAACCCGTGCGCAGGCAGCTGCCAGCCGTGGCTCCGCACCATTGATCTCAGTGTCGCCAAGCCGGCGCAGCCGCCGCATAGCCAGCAGCAATCCCTAACCCCCGGAATCCATCCCCGGAGCTACGATCCAAGCCCTGACCTGAGAATTTCGATGTCGATCCCGGTCGCTGGCCGGCGCCTTGGATGCGTGCCGCCGCCGCGGATGCGCGCTAGGGCAAGGATCGCGCTTCTTTGCCGCCGCTGCTGGAACTATCGCTAGCCGCGCAATGCAGGCAAGGGCATATGCGCGCAATAAGCACAGCAACACACAAATGCCCCACACCCGCGGTAAATATTTGCTTTCCATCTACTGTGGTAATGGTAATGCAAGCCGGGGTAGGTGAAAAAATTAAAAATCACCGCACGGATCTGGGCCGTGGGATGAGCTCGAACGGCCCATTTGCGACCGCACGTTGCGCTCCTTCTTGGGGCACGGGCCGCCACTGGTTGGTAGACCACATTTCCAATCACAGCATTTTAAAAAGTATTTCTCGGTCAACCTTAGAAATCTCAACGCCACGCTATCTCAAAAATTTTTGGTTGGTTGCTTGGTTTTGGTGCTTTGCCGCGTCATCACCCGTACAGGAATCCACTCTCTCGAAACCGTACGATATTCTCACCGTAATTCCGTGCAATAATCTTGCCGCCGTACAGGTCCCCTGTTCTTGGGCTGGAGCTAGGTTAACAGTGGAAATCGCGGTAGGCAGTCGCGATCTCACTCGCGCTGGAGCGCCAACGAATGGATAATCGACTGCCCAGCGACGAGGTAATTAGGTCATCCTCCATTGAAGATCACGAGAATGTGAAGCCCAGCTCAGCTCCATCCAGCAAGCGCCGGATCATGGGCGCTCGCGGCCCCGAGGAAATCCACTGCCTGGGCGCGCTGGATATCATAAAGGAATCAGTGGCAGCGCTGCGAGCAATCTCCTCGCTCTTCTTCTGGGTCGCGGCGCTCCTCGCCACGCCATTCTCCATCGTCGTGCTCTCCCAGGCCTGGATCACGTCCCCGGTGGTGGAGAATTGGGCCGCGCGGATCGAGGCCAGCGCTCTCGCCACCCGCGGCGGCGTCTGGTTCCTCCCATCCTACCGCGCCGCCTGCTTCAAGCTCGTCGACAACCTCGTCTCCCACGCCTTCCAGCTCCCCTTCTACATCACCCTCGCCATCCCAGCGCGCGCCACCATCTCCTGGGCAGTGGCGCTCCTCTACTCCTCGCGCAAGTTCCACCTCCATAGCTTCCTCCGCGCGGCGGCGCTCAAAGTTTGCCTCCGCGCAATCGCCACGTATCTCTGGATCTGCGCTGTGATGCTCGCATGCACCACGCTCATCCTCTCCCTCCTCGTCGTCGTCACCACCTTCTTCCAAGCTCTCGGCCTCTCGGTCGACATACTCTTCCTCATCGTCGCCACCATCTGCCTGGCCTTCTCGCTGCTCTTCGCCCACCTGGTGATCATCTCCAATCTCTCCATCACCATCTCGATGCTGGAAGATATCCAGGGCCGGGCCGCGCTGATGAAGGCCATCCTCATACTCCGGGGACGGACCCAAGTCGGCCTGCTGCTCTTCATCATCGCCACGGCCGCCACCGCTTCGATCGACAGCCTCTTCCAGTACCGCGTCGTCGGAGTTCCCGGCTACAAGTATGCCATCGATCTCTCCTCCAAGCTCTGGGAGATGCCGCTGCTCGTGGGCATGTACTCGTTCCTCTACCTGTTTAATTCAATCCCCAGTGCCATCTTCTACTTCACCTGTAAGTCTTCGTGCTGCGAGAGCTTCGACCGATTCTTTCTTCCGGAAAACCAGTAGCGCAGATCTCTTCTTCTCGACTTGGTTTCTGCGGCTGCTAGAGTTTCGTTTGTACAGCGCCAGACCACCACCATGTAATTTACAAGTTTGGGGCCTCCAAACGTTGTTTGTAAAAGCATAGTTTTGTTCGCAACGACGACAGTTACGACACTTTCACAAGAGGAAATAAGAGAAACTACTCACTTCTTGTTTCTAAGCTTGGCTCCCAGCGCGCGCTCGAGCTTGGAGATGATCTGCTGGTTGGGGATGGCTTTTCCCGATTCATACTCTTGGATGACCTGAGGCTTCTCGTTGATCAGCTGGACCAAGCAAACCAACAAGGAAAACAAATCAGCCAAAAAGAAAAAACCAAAGAATCAATCATCCAAACCTGTGCAAGCTGTGCCTGTGTCAGTTTCTTCTCCGTCCGGGCTTGCATGATGTTCTTCTTCAGGTCAGTCGGAACGCGCTCGTCTGCGTCGTCCAGTTTTAGAACACAAAGCCAATGGATTTGGATTCTCTAGCTTACGGGCGAGCTCCTCGGTCTCGTCATCGAGCTTCTTGGTGTTAATTCCCGGCGTGCTTGTCGCTGCCTTGTTCGACCCCGCATTGACTGGAACAGACGAAGATTAGAACAAAATATCTCACCAATCGACCTCTGAAGCAATCCAATCGCTTACACTTCTTAATCGTCTCGATCGGGCCGCCACTGCGACGCGCCTCGTTCACGGCCTTCTCATCGCGCCGCTGCCCGGCAGTGACCCCCTTCTTCCTGATCACCACGGGCTCCCAATCCTGCGCAATATGGCCACTCATCTTCTTCTTCTTCCCACAACCTAACCCTAGAAATTTGGTTCCGGTTTTATTCCTTTCACGTCATCATAGTGCCACGTCATCACTAATGCGCCTCTTCTACACTGTCTCTTCTATGTCGACATTTTGGAGATGGAGATCAAAGTGGTACACCCCTACATAAAAAAAATCAAATGTAAGTCGAGAGAAAATAAAAAACTTTGATCCATACCATGTCCTTGGCCTGTTCTTCGGAGCTGGCTCACGTACTCCGAGATTTTTTTTATGCTCTCCACCTGGAAGAGAAGCCATTGTTTTCGATCGAGATTGGAGCAAAATCTAGACAAACTTACTTGCTCGGTGAGGAAGCTGCTCTCGACGAAGTCGGCCATTTGGGGGTCGTCATTCTCACTTGCAACCTTCAAACGATCAAAGGATCAAGGTCTATCACAAGTCGAGAGAGATGGGCTTGGCGATACTCTGTGTAAGGCCAGAAGTTTCTCGTTCGTGAGCTTTTCCAGAGCTAGTGCGAGCTCCATAGCTGCAGTAGAAAAACATCACTGGAGTTACTTGTGTTGGAGGGTTTTCTCGATTCTACCATATAGAGCATCTCCTTTCTCTGCGTTGTCAAACTCCATCTCGGGCGGTAGTATTGTTTGTAGCTTCACCCTTCCACCTCGCAAGTTCTATTCTAGTAAACAAAGCATTAGCGAAAGCTCTTCGATTTCCAGGCTTTGTTACCTGGTACTTCATCAAAGTCTCGGCGTGCTCCCTCTCCTCTTCACTAGCATTCTTAAAGTACCTGTAAAGTTTTGCTAAAAGATGGATACCACAAAGTTGTATAGGACACGTACTTTGCCATGCCTGGAAGCCCAACGTTGTCCCGATCGAAGTACGCAAACAACGCATGGTAGATGTAAGAGACATTGTACTCAACGCTAGAAGAGAAAATCAAAGCTCTCTCGCCATAGAAAATCGAAAAAGAGAGAGAGGCTTACTTGATTTGATCGTTGATAGCAGCTTCACAGGCTTGAGAGAAGCGCTGGCGCGCGAGCGACACCGATTTGGACAAGGAGACCTCCGACAGGGCTTCCTGGACCTCGGCAAAGGGCTGGAACACAACACCCGTGAGCGATTCCGAGCTTTGGATCTCGGCCCTGGCCCTGAAGTATCCATTCCCGGAATCCCGCCCCTGCGAGAACACCCTCCCGCATTTGCGCTCCCCAGCTCCAAATGCGCCGCGGCCGGGCTTCACTGATGGAGCGGCAGCTCCCGCGGCATGAATCAAGACGCCGGGATGCAAACGAAGAGCAGCCACAGGCGCCATAGCGATTAGAAATGGAGCCCTAAAATTTAAAAACAAGGCGAGTTAAATAGCATTTGGATAAACGTGGTTCTCTCCATGATGGCGAGGTTTGGGGTAATGCTAATATGCTCTCGAGATTTATTTCTTGTGTTTAGCAGCAAGGAAAAGCATGGGGACACGTCCCAAGAAGGCAGGTCTATGCTGAATACTTCAAGCAAAGCATTTATCTCAGATGGGCATTTTTAAGGAGCAGGCAAGGATCATCAAACTCTTCCAAATGATGAACACAATTGAGGCCTGCGATTGTCTAATACGTTTCAAGCCTGATGCTTTGTCTATCCCATGCTTAATATGTTTGACACATCATTTCCCTTTCATGACCTACAAAGTTGGTTATGAGTAACTTCGTGGATGTTTTAAATTTTCACAGACAAATATCCTGTTAAAGTATTTCTCAAATATTGTTGATAGCATTTTGTTGGAATATTTTTCTTTATTCTTCTTGGTGATGGTAACTTTTTGTGAACTTTATGCTTGGAAAAGCAGATCAATTGAGTGTAGTAAAAATAGTGTGTATGAAACAAACTCTCAAATAACACATTTCTAAACTTTCTAAAAATTCATGAATATCAAAATGCATTTTAAAGTTTGAATTATAAGCCTTGAGTTTTAAAAACACATCTTTAGGTGTAAGTTGAAAAACATACAAAATGAAATGTAATGAAAGGTCAATTCATTTTATAAAACATTTATTTTTCACAACCTTAATTTTATTAAATATAATATAGAATACTTTTTGTTGGGGAAGCTTCCAAAACAACTTCAAAAATTTTGTTAAAGCCAATTGATCCCCTCTGAGCTAATTACTTTAGTAAAATAATGCTTAATAAAGTTTTATATAAAGAGGTAAATAGAATTATTTAATCAAATCAATGTTGTAATCAAATTTTTAGAATTACTAACCTAAATCAAAAGGCAGTGAATGTTTTATTTATTTTAAAAGATTTGAAGTAAAAAGGTAAATATATTCTCAAAAAAAAACACGCCTTTGTAAATACACAATTGTTTTTTGTTTAAAATTAAAACCCATTAAACTACTCAAGATATATAAAAGATTTATTATAGTCAAAATTTATATTTAAGGTAATAAATTTCTATTCTCTATATTAATAATACTTAGCTATTTTTAAAGATAAAATTTACTGTAAGGATATTAGTTTATTCAAAATAAACCATAATATTTATGAGCTTCAAAAAATTACTTTATTCTCACTTTTTCTAAGCTATATTACTTAAATTAAATTTTTTAAACAATTATCAACAAAAATTTATAAGCCACTAGGATTCAACAATATTTTCTACTTCAGGTATGGAGCTAAAAGTAAATATATCATAGTTATTCCTAATGAATTTATTTTGGTATCATTCACTATATTAAACTTCATAGTGAATTTTTATTAATGAAAAATTTATTTATTTTAGCATTTGCACAATTCTAGAGTTATGGTTAAAATTTTCAAACTTTACTCAGATTTGAAGTTTGTTTCATACCAGTTGCCAACTTCTAACAAACACCCAAAATCTATAATTTGAAATTTTAATCTTTATTTATATTTTTTCTTTATAATGCCTCTTTGTTTCTATATATGTTAAACTATATTATTATTTAATTAATTAATTAATATTACTATTTATACATAACTATTTAACTAGTTGTAGATATTTGAACACAAATAAATCATGTTTAAATATTTTTGAGTTGTAAACCTAATATATACTAATTTTTACCCATGATTTTATTGGTGTATAAAAATTAAATTTAATATTATGTAATAACAATTTATTTGTTATTCAATTTATTATATAAGTAATTTCTATAAATTTTCCATTAGCATTATAATTTATTTTAATTCAATAAAAGAAAGTTATGTTACATTATATGTAAAAATTTATTATAATAGTTTTAATTATATACTTTTCTTTAAATGATAAAGACAAAATAATCTAAAATATTAACAACTGTTAGATGGTAGAATATCCTAGAATATCCTTGCCTATGTTCATACCTCACAGGTTTTTGCTTAATCAAACCAGAATAATAATATTGAACATCCATAATAATTTCAGCTAAATCGATATAATTATTTTAAATCATAAATATTAATTATATTCTGAAATATTATTATTAATCACTAACTCAAAGTCATAAAGTTTATCAAGAAGATCCCACTCCTTTATATGCGCTTGAACATTTAAACGTATGAGTTAATGATGTTATTTGAGTTTCCAATACTAATAATAATAGATTTCTAATTTTATTTTAAAATATATATTTATATTTTAAAACACTAATGATAATAATTGAGAGTTTTAGTACTTACACAAATATAAATATAAGTATAAATACATATTATTGCTAAAGCCGAGGTAAAAAATTTTATGGTTATGATTAATTCTGAATTTGCAAATAAATCAAGTTTAAACATTACTTAATTTTAAGCCATTGGATTGAGGAAAACCATATTATTCGTTGGTTTAATTTTTGAAATGTGACATAATCATTAAAATTAATTAGAGTATGTTTAAGTGCCACCATGAAAACTCTATTATGTCAATGAGAATATGACAAAATTTCAAATGCTTAAATTTAGCTATTTTCAGATGTAGTAATTTATCAAATTAAAACCTAAAAGGATATTTATAAGGTTTTCCTTAAATTAATTCCATGTTTTCACTAATAATTAAAACCGCCGAATCTGCTCAAGATCGGAGAAAAGCTTCATCCATAATCGAGTACATCAACAAAACCTTTGAAGTTATTAATCAAAAGAAACAACAAAATCCATCGAAAACGATGCTCTACGTCATGCTCACGAGCTCCCGGAGCCTCTGCACAAGAGCATTATCGATCTGGAACGTCCTCTCAATGACAGCGTCCAAGATAGGCGGGTTCGAGCCAAACACGGCCTTGGCAACCTGGGAGACTCCGGGGTTCTGCGAGTTGAACCCGGCCACCGCCACCGCGGGCTCTCTGCCAGTGTTGATCTGGAAGTGAACCAGTCCTCGAGGGAAGACGAAGAGCTCGCCGGGATTGATTGTCTGCGCGAAGAGCCGGTTATCCGGTGCGGTGGTGACAAAGCCCACGAACAGAGTTCCCTGGACGAGGAAGAGGACCTCGGTGCCCCGGGGGTGAACGTGTGGGGGGTTGACACCGCCGGGAGCATAGTCGAGGCGGGCAAACGAGACACCCAGAGTGTTGAGCCCAGGGAAATTGCCAACGTTTGCAGCGGTGACTGCGGAGCCGAGCCTGTTGCTGGTGTTGCCCGGGTTCCTGAGCAAGCCCGACTTGAAGTCCTCGGCTACCACCGCTACCATGGGCTTGCATACCTTGCCATTGATGGTGATAGTGTTGTTGTTGTCCGCGACACAGACGTCCTGGAGCATGTCCTTGTCGGCAGCAAGGACGAGTGGGGGTGGCGAGCATGCAAAGACGAAGATGGCGATGAGAATTGCCAACATTGTTGCTGCCATGGAATGAGAGAAACGATGAAGAACTATCTTTGACCTGAGACACTGCCGAGAGGGGTTTATAAAGAGGGTCTAGGACGATCTAGCACCTCTAATTCACACTAGACTTGCATGGTCTTCCTCATCCATTGATCATTGTAAGTTGAAACTATCCAATAACCATATTAACATTAATTTATATCATTTATGAATAATTTATCTTGCAAAGAATTTGAAGATCTATCCGGAAGATTTGGAAGGTTGAGTTCCGTTGCAACCAAGAAGATGAGATTCTTGGAAGATCTATAACGACCAAGCGTCCTCACTAGGATGCTTCTTCGTTGTGGCATTAGAAGCGCACTACCCAGATCCCCAGCGTGTGTGTGCGCTTGGACGATCTCGCTCCATGGTACCGCATCCTTGCAAGGAATCTCCTGGAAAATTTTCATCGCCTCAACAATATCCCCAGTCCCCATTGTGTTCCACAGCAGCACGTCATGTGCTTGATCCATCGAGGTGGAGAGAAGAGATTATGATCTTAGAAGGTGAGCTCTGCATCGGCCATGCTTCCACACTTTCCATGCCATACATTTGGACGATGAATCGCATGGGCTCCTTGCATTTTTGGTCTTATCAATATTAAGTTTTAGCTTTTTCTTGGCTTATTTGGAAACAAAAACGTGTATCTTTTAGAGGTTTTCTACTTTAATAACACTATTTTGTTAATTTTTAAGGTTTCAATAATAGGAAAAAAATTGTGCACGTTTATTTCTTTGTATACACTACTAAATTTAGCAAACTCTATTAGTAATATTATAACTTGTGTTCTTTAATTTGTCTTAAATTTGAAAAAAAAGGGGTTTATATTTTTACAGCCGACCCTAATGGAAACCCTAATTTTATTCTAGGCATATACCTTTCATTTCGGGAGGAGGGCGAGAAATGGCGAGGCGCATCGCGAATCCAAGGTACTACCAAGGAGTAGTTGTCGTAGCCGCGGCTCCGTCCTTTTGGGAGCTGCTAGTGCTGTGCGTTGTGGTGCTGGGCATGCTCTCGTTCTTGGTGCTCTCGCTCCTCGTTTTCAAGTTCTGGAAGCGCAACACGCAGCAGCCAAAGGGGCGACGAGTTTTCGCGCAGCGGCGACAATCCACACTCACAGCTTTCGCGCAGCCCAGCAGGGAGTGCTCGTTTTGCTGCATCGACATCAACTTGCTCAAGCTCAAGACAAGTAAGCACTTTCCATTTTTTTTATAAAGGGTGTTTAGTTTTGGTGTTGACCTTTATTCCACTTGTTTCTAAACCTCTGTTTACAGTGTCCGGGATTCGGAATATTGACTTTGGCCGGACTCCTGCTGTACGACCGTCGAGTAATAACCCAATCTTCTATGCTCCTCGCATCAGTGACTACGAATGTAAGTTTTCTTGTTTATCTTCCAAGGCCTGGCTGACTTTGATTTGTTTCCTTTTTTTTCATAGACCTTCTGGACTACCAGAACTCGAGAATGATGCCAGGTGTTGTTCATGACTTCCAGAGCTCAAGAATGATGCCAGTGGTTCACAGCGGGTCCCTTGACACTGATCTAGCTGAGCTGCCACGGAGCGTTGTTCCACAGCCTCCAATCACCTCGGAAGTTCGTTTGCCTTTGACAATGCTCGACTTTGCGACCCCTCCGGCTTTCATGCCTGGTCAGCTGCAGCAAGAGCAAAGCCATCACGACATAACGACTGCCTCCAGCGTGAGCTCTGAGCCGCAGTTACTGCTGGAGACTGACAATGAAGTAAGCCCACTCTGCTTTTCATATTGTCACTAACACACACCTGATGCAGTTTCTCAAGCGCTTGGAGGTTGTCTCTGAGCTCCTTATCTCAAGCTCAATCCAGAAGTCACGCATGGCCATGGCTTGTCTTGGTTATGGTCAGCTACAGTGTTTGCTCATGATCTTGCTTCAGCAGCAGAGTTATGACGATGGTGTGCTCAACACGTCCAATGAGGTAAGCTTTCTCGTCTTTCCAGTCTACTTGGAGTCATTTTCTAATCTCTTTGTCCATGCAGTTTTCACGTACGCTGGTAAAGCACACAAGAGAAGCCAAGTGTACATTCCTCGACCTCAATCAAGACATATCGGTCTCACAACTCTACGGCCAAGACTTTATGCCTCTGCAGCGTCAATCGGTGATGATCAAGGGATCACGGGGCAATGCAATCTTCACGCTCCAGGTGATTAGTGAGCCCGGCTTAATTCCCGGATGTGGTTCGAAGTCCTACAACTCTAGCGTAAGAATACTTTCCATATTCCTTGGCTCAGTGGTTCCGAGTCCAGCATACTCTTTTCCGCTAAATGTAAGTCTATCTTTTCCTGGCTCCACACTTAACACTTGGCTTCTATAGGTTGCGTTGCCGGAGCTGGCAAGTGGTGCTCGTTCTGTTCTTCGCATCACCGGCGGCATGGAAGCCCCTCTTCCTGGTCGGCCTGGTGCTCCACTGCTGCTCAACAATCTATGCTGTTCACGCTTTTCTGCTGATCTTTCCTCGTGGACTTGTGTGGAGCTCCAGGTGCCGAGTTATATATCACTGTTTGAGTTGGCGGTGCTCAAACTCAACGCAGTTATTCCGCAGCCTCCAAACACCCCACTGCTTATCAAGCTAGTCTGCGTCAACTTCCAAGGAGATTACAATACTACTAGCTGTAAGCTGTTTATGTTTTTGTTTGCATCATCCTTATCAAGTGTTTTGGTTTGAAGTTCCAGCAATCTGCGAGCGGGAAGTACATCGCGACATTGTGCCTGAGCGAGGAAAACAAGAAGCTCCTTGGTTCCTTGGTGCTCGGCTGCTGCTCAACGATGATGAAAGCCCTCCATGCTCTTTACGGTTTTGTGGCACTCTTTCCTCCGGGACTTGTGTTGAGCTCCAGGCGCCGATTTATCCATCACTGATCGAGCGAGCGTCACTTTATGAACCATATCGTAAGCTGCACTTCAGATTTTCGTTCTTTACGATAATTGACGACAATTGGTTTGCAGGGGTGTGCTCGTTGTTTGGTGTCATCGACATCAGCAAGATCACGCTCAAGACAAGTAAGCTTTTCTCATTCTTTTTACCTTTGTTTTGTTTTTAACTGTTTTGACAGTGTCGGGGCTTACTTTCCCGTGGCATAGCAGCTTTCGTGCTTTGGAATCGACACTCCCCGATGATCACGATGCTTATACAGATGTAAGTACTTTTCCAAATTCCTTGTGGATTTTAGCTCTGAATTGAGCAGGAGGTCTTTTACATGTTTATTAATCTTATTCACGCGTCAAAAGGTGGCTGGAAATATTTTAATTTACACGTACGTTTGAATTTAATAATTTTCAGTCAATGTTTTTTGGATCTTTATTCTAATACGTGAATGCAGCAACTATACGCTGGCCTTAAAGACGCTTGGCTTTTGCGTGGTGGCCAATTTCGAGCTCAGGTACAAGAGCTGCGAAGGCGTGGTGCTCCACCTTTTAGTGCCACGAGCGAGCAGCAAAACTATGAGTGGGAAAGTCACAACATTCTAGAAAAACAAGAAGCGGCCAGCTTGGATGATCAGTCAGACAACAGTGCTATTTTAATGAGCAGGCCACCATCCATTCATCAACTTGAAAGCTCTGGCAACTTCTTGGAGGTGATACCGATTGCGGCGGATTGCTCCTCCGAGGATTTCGAGCGCCAAGTTCGTGGTTCAAGACACGTAAGTACTTTTTCAGTTTCTCATGGATGTTATACCTGAATTTGTGTTATGCAGTTTTCGGATGCCGCCTTCAATGACGCTGGAGGAGAAAAGTGCTTAGATTTGATGCGGCACGAGCCAGCTGGAGACCTGGAGGATGGCTGGGAGAAATATCCAGAAATCGAAGAGCTGCCGATAGATGACGGATGGAGCGACTTTTCCGAATTGGTGAGCGATGAGCAAGGAGATAGTGCTGTTTTTGTGGAGATCCGTGAAGCTGATCAACTTGGGAGCTCAGAGAACGAGGGTGATTTGACGTCTTATGCAGCAGCAGAACTGCTAGATGCAGCACCAACGAGAATGTTAACACCCTTGACATTCATGGGCGACATTGAGACACCATTGTTTTGTGCCACCGGTAATTGTGTTTTTCTGTTCTGTTGTTTTCTCTTCTCCTTTTAGCGGTCACTGACACACACACTTAAAACAGGAATTGAGAAGGCGATTATTATGACAAGTGGTGGTGAACAAAAGGTGTGCTAGCATTTTCAAGGCCATTTCAGCGTATGCAGCACCCATACAGCCGTGAGGCAAAGGATAAAAATCCAGCAAGCTCTCGCCGCTGTCACCATGACAGATAATTGAAGCCGACATAGTTTTATTTTCCCTCAAGGATCATCACGGTCAAATGAAACACCGGAAGTATTGGAGCTGCCTTCGATACGAAGTTTTACGGTGGCAAGTTGCGGGAGGTGAAGCAGCTGGCTTGCTACAAACAGTTGGTTTGACTTAGCTACGAGCGGCTGGACGAGGCGGAGGGTCTCAGGGATGACGAGCGTTGATCCAGACTTCAGCAAGTTGCTTTTCCACACTCTGGATATGTGCAATGTGTGGCTACTAGGCGAGCCTGGATCGCCAGGCCAGAGAGTTGCTGCAAGCCGGGAACTCTGGTATTCGTGAGAACTCACAGATGTATCTACTCCAGCTCGGCAGGTATGCTTTCGGCAACTACAGAGAGAAATGTTCCGGCTTTGGAAGATGGCGATCCAGTTCGAATTCTCGGCCAACAGTCCTTTAGAGACAACGAGGTTGACAAAGGATACAAACTACCTGGACAAGGCTGTACTCTTATTCTAGTTCCGTCAGGCTTTCAAACAGGCTTTCTCCAGACGCTAAGATTTACACGGTTTTGCTCTGTTTGACCAAGGCAGAGTGGATGAGGCGTAGTTCTCTTGAAGCTGGTATGGTGTTGCAACTTCTGGCTGAAAGCTTCTCGTCACCGACTGTTTCCATCATAGGCAGAAAACTTGTATGAAGTCTTTGACGTGGTGCCAGAGACGGAAGTTTCTCCAAACTGTGACTTCGACATGGAAATCTCGACATCTTCGCAAGGGAAAAAAGCTCGGAGGCAGGCTGTGCCAGGCTCACAGGCCTGATCGTTCGAAACGTCGTCTGATTCACGAGGTAATGAAGGAGTCCAGGTGCTCGGCCGACGTGCCTGCTACGGAGGATTCCAGAAGCTTACGACAATGTGGTCACCTTCGTGTATTGCACTCTGCGGTGGAGGCTATCTCTTCTAACAGGTTCCTGAGCAGTGCTACGAGCAAATTCTTGAAAGGAAAGGAGCGAGCTAGTTTTGAGGCCGCGAGGACAGGTTTTGAGGCACCATAGCTTCCGGATTGAGGCACAACTCCAGGGTTTTACGGAGTTTGGAAAGTCGAGTAGAAACTCCAGGGTGATGCAGAAGCTGGAACAGATCCTTCAACAGATTTCTCGAGCATGACCAGTGGTTTGCAACCTCCACTTTGTCGAGACCTCAAGGGTGCTCAAGATGATATTTGGCTGTATCATCCTCCCACTCCCCTTACCACTACTAACACCTCAAAAGTGCTTTGCTGCTTGCGATTTTAGTCTTTCTCCTTGATGATGGAAAAACTGGCGGCAGCAACGATCTAAGGACGCACATATTTGAACTTCTGGACCAGCTGAGAATGGCAATGATACCGATTCTTCCCGTATATAAGGTTGTGGTGGCAGTGCAAGTACATCGACCGCTTAAGCAGGAAAATATGGAAGGTGTTGAGTTTGGGGAGGTGGTAATGAAACACTTGTGCAAGTGACTGTTCTTTCATCAGCTTTTCTTTCAGAACAAGGTACGTGTTCGGGCGCCTGCCATAGAAAGTGTCCAACGAGCACTCACACCGGAGATATAGAGCTCATGGGCAGAGATGATTTGCTCACCTTGACGGTTGGACGAGGCAAAGGATCTAAATCCAGCAAGCTCTGGTCGCTCTACTTTGCGAGCTGGGATCACAGGAGTCAGGGAAATGCTAGAAGCCGAGTTCAAGGTGTTGCTCAAGAATAAGTCACCTATAACGTTAATGCATTGGAGCTGTTCCTCCCGCTGAGGAACTTGAGAACTCTTTTGGCGGTGGTGATCACTACGTGCCCAAAACTACCTGGAGATGTCAGGTGCTCCCATTGCTGTTAACCACAACACTTTAGTGACTCTTCTCGGCTGCAAAGCAAGCGTTTTAGCTTCAGGCAGAGTGGATGAGGCATAACAGGTGCTGATCTCTGATATTGCAACTTCCTCTTGTCACCAAGTGTTTTCACCATAGGT